TGTGTCTATGTATACGGATGACTCAACACTATACACGTCAGCTACTACAGCGAATGAAATCACTGCTACACTTAACAAATAAATGCATTCAGTTTCAGAATGGGTGGCAAGAAATAAGTTAGTCCTAAATATTTTTTACAAAATAAAAGCATTGTATTTGGGACAAATCATTCACTAAACCCTAAACCTCAACTAAATCTTGTAATGAATAATGTGGAAATTGAGCAAGTTGAGGTGACTAAACTGCTTGGAATAACCCTGGATTGTAAACTGTCATGGTCAAAACATATTGATACAACAGTAGCTAAGATGGGGAGAAGTCTGTCCATAATAAAGCTTTGCTCTGCCTTCTTACCAACACAATCAACAAGGCAGGTCCTACAGGCCCTAGTTTTGTTGCACCTGGTCGTGTGGTCAGGTGCCAAAAAGAGGGACTTAGGAAAATTACAATTGGCTAAGAACAGGGCAGCATGACTGGCCATTAAATGTACACGGGGAGCTAAATTAATGTCAATCTCTCATGGCCCAAAGTGGAGGAGATATTGACTTCCATCACTACTTGTTTTTGTAAGAAGTGTTGACAAGCTGAATGCATCGAGCTGTCTGTTTAAACTACTAGCACACAGCTCGGACACCCATGCATACCCCACAAGACATGCCACCAGAGGTGTCTTCACAATCGCCAAGTCCAGAACAGACTATGGGAGTTGAACAGTACTACATAGAGCCATGACTACGTGGAACTCTATTCCACATCAGGTAACTGATGCAAGGTGTAGAATCAGATTTAAAAAACAGAAGAAATAAACATCTTATAGAACAGCGGGGACTGTGAAGAGACACACACACACACAGGTACAGACATACACATACGCACACACATGCTAGCACTCACACTCTAAACACACACGTACATTGTAATATTGTTGTATTGTGGTATTATACATTTTGTATTGTAGATATGTAGTGGTGTAATAATGTTATATATACTGTTTTGTTTTATGTGTAATGTAAGTGCCTTAATGTGTTTGGACACCAGGAAGAGTAGCTGCTGCCTTAAATACATAAATACAAATACTCTAAGTCTGAATTTGTCTTGCTAGGTGACCTAAATTGGGACATGCTTAAACCACCTGACCAAGTCTTAAAACAATGGGACTCCCTAAATCTCTCTAAGATTATTACCAATCCCACAAAGTATCACTCCAAACACACAGAAAAGGCTACTCTCCTTGATGAAATCCTCACAAATAACCCTGATAGGTATCAGTCTGGTATTTTCTGTCAGTCAATATGTTTAAGATTTTAGATTTTTCAAAGTAGCTACCCTTTGCCTTGATGACAGCTTTGCACACTTTTGGCATTCTCTCAACCAGCTTCACCTGGAATGCTTTTCCAACAGTCTTGAAGAAGTTCCCACATATGCTGAGCACTTGTTGGCTGCTTTTCCTTCACTCTGCAGTCCAACTCATCCCAAACCATCTCAATTGGGTTGAGGTCAGATGATTGTGGAGGCCAGGTCATCTGATGCAGCACTCCATCACTCTCCTTCTTGGTCAAATAACCCTTACACAGCCTGGAGGTGGGTTTTGGGTCATTGTCCTGTTGAAAAACAAATGATAGTCCCACTAAGCGCAAACCAGATGGGATGGCGTATCGATGCAGAATGCTGTGGTAGCCATGCTGGTTAACTGTGCCTTGAATTAGAAATAAATCACTGACAGTGTCACCAGCAAAGCACCCCCACACCATCACACCTCCTCCTCCATGCTTCATGGTGGGAACCACACATGTGGAGATCATCCACTCACCTACTCTGCGTCTCACAAAGACACGGCGGTTGGAACCAAAAATCTCACATTTGGACTCATCAGACCAAAGGACAGATTTCCACCGGTCTAATATCTATTGCTCGTGTTTCTTGGACATCGGATGTCTCTCCATCTTATTGGTGTCCTTTAGTAGTGTTTTCTTTGCAGCAATTCGACCATGAAGGCCTGATTCACGCAGTCTCGTCTGAACAGTTGATGTTGAGATGTGTCTGTTACTTGAACTCTGTGAAGCATTTATTTGGGCTGCAATTTCTGAGGCTGGTAACTCTAATTAACTTATCCTCTGCAGCAAAGGTAAGTCTGGGTCTTCCATTCCTGTGGCGGTCCTTATGAGAGCCAGTTTCATTATAGCGCTTGATGAGTTTTGCAACTGCACTTGAAAAAACGTTCAAAGTTCTTGAAATTTTCTGTATTGACTGTAGTTTCTCTTTGCTTATTTGACCTGTTCTAGCCATAATATGGACTTGGTATTTTACCAAATAGGGCTATCTTCTGTATACCAACCCTACCTTGTCACAACACAACTGATTGGCTCAAATGCATTAAGAAGGAAATAAATTTCACAAATTAACTTTTAACAAGGCACACCTGTTAATTAAAATGCATTCCAGGTGACTACCTCATGAAGCTGGTTGAGAGAATGCCAAGAGTGTGCAAAGCTGTCATCAAGGCTAAGGGTGGCTACTTTGAAGAATCTCAAATATAAAATATATTTTGATTTGTTTAACACTTTTTTGGTTACTACATGATTCAATATGTGTTATTTCATAGTTTTGATGTCTTCACTATTATTCTACATTGTAGAAAATAGTAAAAATAAAGAAAAACCCTGGAATGAGTCGGTGTGTCCAAACTTTTGACTGGTACTGTATATATTTTTTAAATGTATTCCGTGTGTGGTTGTTTCATTGAGTCATACTGCATTTATTCTTATTTCATTGGAGAACATTCTGGAAAAAGTAATCTAAGCCTTTATATACTTATTGAACAAAACATTAAAAACACCTTCCTAATATTGAGTTGCACCCTCTTTTGCCCTCAGAACAGCCTCAATTCATTGGGGCATGCACTCTGCAAGGTGTCGAAAGCGTTCCACAAGGATGCTGGCCCATGTTGACTCCAGTGCTTCCCACAGTTGTATCAAGTTGGCTGGATGTCCTTTGGGTAGTGAACCATTCTTGATACACACTGGAAACTGTTGAGCGTGAAAAACCCAGCAGTGTTGCAGTTCTTGACAAGCTCAAACTGGTGAGCCTGACACCTACTACCATACCACTTCAAAGGCACAAAAATATTTTTTCTTGCCCATTCACCCTCTGAATGGAACACGTACACAATCCATGTCGTAATTGTCTCAAAGCTTAAAAATCCTTCTTTAACCTGTCTCCTCCCTTTCATCTAGACTGATTGAAGCGGATTTAACAAGTGACATCGATAAGGGATCATAGGTTTCACCTGGATTCACCTGGTCAGTCTGTCATGGAAAGGTGTTCCTAATGTTCTGAGCACTCAGTGTATATATATTAATAATAATAATAAGCCATTTAGCAGACGCTTTTATCCAAATCAACTTACAGTCATGCGTGCATACAATTATCATTATTTTTTTTGTGTACGGGTGGTCCCGGGGATCGAACCCACTACCTTGGCGTTACAAGCGCCGTGCTCTACCAGCTGAGCTACAGAGGACCACATCTCTAGCCTCTTGTTTTTCCAATAGCTTATCATACAAGTCCATTTACTGAGATGTCCTTTTCACCATTATTCCCATGCTGATTTATCCGAGCCTTGTGGTGAGAAGGTTACACAGTGAATCACCCTAGTTATTATAACTACTAATAACTCCATCAAGCTCCCTCACCAAACCAACCATTCCTGCTTGTACTACTTTCCCACTAAGCTTCCCACCTCTGTAGAGGTGCGATAAAAATACATAAACAGGCAGAATCACTTCAAAATACAGCTAGACCCCTGACCTTAGAACTCCACAGTGCGTGTTAACCTGGGTCATGTGGGTCAGCATATAGTACCTTTTAGACTAGAGACGTAACACTTAATACTGGTGGAGTCATGCTCCAGTGATTAAAGTACAACAGCATCCAGCCCTACACAACTTGTACACACACACATTTTGAGCAGATGTTCTACTTTGAGACAGGTCCAGGAAGTTGGGCCAAATCTGTGGGCTTCATGGCTCTGCTTCCATTACATAATTGGCCGTGCTCATGTCTCCCTGTCTGGCTGACTAACTCTAACAGACCTGTCAATCTGAGAAGCAGCACCTCAGTGTGAGTGTGAGTGTGAGTGTGAGTGTGAGTGTGTGTGTGTGTGTGTGTCTGTGTGTGTGTGTGTGTGTGTGTGTGTGTGTGTGTGAGACTCTCTGGCTGACTCTACCACTACCAGACCTGTCTATCCTCTTAGACCCAGACCTACATCACTCCGCCACCAGAGACCATTACATATTAATTATTCAAGGAAAATATGATGTTTACTTCACACTATGAGTCTGATGATTCATGCTAAACAGGTGTAAAGAGTTTACATTTTAACACTAATAAAGCACTGTGCTTTTAGTATAGTACAGCCTGTCCTACTTTGTCGGTTCTGCAGGGTCGTAGTCCAGAATCCAAGTCATAGAGACCCATAACATCAAAAAGAAGGCACAAAATAACAGAAGAACATTTTCACAATTTTAGCCTTTTTAATAAAGAAAAATGAAGACTCCCGTTGATACATAAAGATACTTTCACAAGAGCAACGTTTTATTATAATCGCTTTATTTAATTTTCATAAGCATTAGACATCAGATATACAAATGGTGTGTTCTGTAGCAAATATACTCTATAGGACAGCAGCAGGATTGGCATCATGTACAAAAATACACATTTTATTTCTTACAGCTCGTAAAACACTATATCAAAGCATCATATGAACATAAATATAGACCTCTACCTGTCGTTGATTGACAGACATGGAAACAGAGCTCAAGCACAACCAAACATCTACTATGACCAGGGGAAAATAACTGTACATATATGACAATATAAACACCAACAACAAGACCATTTAAACATACAAACGATATGCTATAAACAACATTGACCATCCATATAAAACAAGCCCAGACTCTCTTAAAATCCTCTTAAATGTAGGAGAGTCTAAGTCCTATTAAACGTAGGACTCCTCAGCAAATAACATTTGGTCAAAGTCGTCGACGCAAGGGTCACTACACTTCCTGCTCTGCCACTCCCTCTTCCCCTGGACGAGGGCCAGAGCAACCTCCTGACTCCTACCCAGGCACGCGTCTGCATCCACCCGCCCCTGCGAGGAAAAGTAGTCCCTCACTGCCCGCGTGGCAGAGGGAGACAGGCAGATCCGTGGCTCTGAGTTCGGGCCTGCTCCGTTGCGCTGTAGCTCCACGTCAGAGACTCTAAGTCCGCTCTCAGGGAGCTGCTGATCTTTGACCCTGGGCCTGTCCAGGGTGAGGCTGGAGGCTGCGTCTTTCACGCATGAGGGCTCAGAGGCTCTGCGAGGCATGGTGAGGACCTTGCAGCCAGCCTCCATGGCCGGGGTGAGGGAATGAGACTTATGCCTCTGGAGAGTCAGTGTTGAGTCACTCTGTCCATAGAACACACCCTGGGGGGGCTGGCTGACCTCACTTCCTGTTCCAGTGGACTGCTGGGTGACGTCACTTCTGGTGGGTGGTCTGTGGGTGACTTTGCAGGCCTGGTCGTGCAGCAGCCGTAGCTCCCTTATGGTGAGGGGTTTCTCTGTGCCTCTGTAGAAGGGAGACCTACTCCCCTGTAGCTGTAGGATAGCCTGCTGGTAGGATGGAGGGCTGCTGGACCTCCTCTTGGTGGTCACCTCTACACCTTTAACCTCAGGGGATTTTGGGATGCTAACCCCTTCCCCCTCCCCCACTTCCTCCTCCAGGTGTCCGTTGTCGGGTTGCCGTAGCGACAGCCGTTGGTCCCTCTTGAGCCAAGTGTTGGGGTGCAGGCCGTGGTGGGTGGAGGGGGTCCGGGAGGAGTGGGGGGGGTGGCTTTGGCTCCAGTCCACTGTGTCTCTCTTTGGGGGTGAGGCCTGGGGTGAGAGGGGGGAGCGGGGTGAGAGGGGGGAGCGGGGTGAGAGGGGGGAGCGGGGGGAGAGGGGGGGAGCGGGGGGAGAGGGGGAAGCGGGGTGAAGGCTCAGCCAAATGGAAGCCGGCGCTGGTCACATAGTCTGTGGAATAATGGGAGAAGGCGGAGTCTAGGGAGCTGAGGGAGGATCCTGTGGGGGAGGTTGCCGGGGATGACAGGCTGGAGCAGCTGGCATCCAATCGTAAAGGAGTGGGCGGGGCGTGCTTCAGCTTCCTCCGCCCGAGAGTTCCAACCCCTCCTCTTTCTCCACCTGTGACTACATTGTCTTTCAGCTGCAGAGCCCTGATCCCCTGCTTCAGAAACACTTCATCCTCCTCTTCCTCCTCCTCTCCTTCCTCTCCCTCCATCGCCGCATCGTAGCTCGTTTTACGTGACGCCAAACGGTGCATATCTGATTGGACAATCAGAGATCCGGGGGTGTGTCCGAGGGCGGGCTCTGAGCTGCGTCGCAACCTCCGAGGGCCATGTGATTGGACAGAGGTGAACTTCCTTGGTCTGGCCAGTGGGGGGAGATGTAGGAGGTCAGCCTCAGGGTCAGGGTCGGGGTCACAGTCACTCAGCGTAATGACAGAGTCTCTACTGCGGCTGTCTGGCATGGCCTTGTCTCTCAGAGGGAGGGACTCCTGGAAGGGCGACTCTGGGTCTTCGTTTAACTCGTTCTCCAGACTGTCGTAGGATGAGTCGTTCATCTGGAAAGATGACACATCTATGGAGGGAGTGAGAAAGGGAATGAGAGAAGGGGGGAGATTGAGTTTGAACAAACCTCCATTTCATTAGATAGACACAGGGTTTGAAAACTAAGCATAAAGTGTTGTCATGGTCCCTAGCATACAGCTGCCATTCATAGAGTTTGGTTTAGGTGGTTTAGGGGAGAAGGAGGGAATTGGCTGGTGTGTTAATGAGTGTCTGAGAGTGTACTAATCACTGAAGTGACTGAGGTCAACATAGTGACCCCAATCAGCAAACCTCACCGAGACACAGGCTTATGGAGAGGCCACGTCTGAGAGAACACTCAACTCGCACACACACACAACCTTTCTTTTTTTTCATTTTTTTCCAATTTCGTGGTATCCAATTGGTAGTTACAGTCTTGTCCCATCGCTGCAACTCCCGTACGGACACGGGAGAGGCGAAGGTCGAGAGTCGTGCGTCCTCCGAAACACAACCCAACCGAGCCTCACTGCTTCTTGACACAGTGCCCGCTTAACCCGGAAGCCAGCTGCACCAATGTGTCGGAGGAAACACCGTACACCTGGCAACCGAGTCAGCGTGCACTGCGCCCAGCCCGCCACAGGAGTCGCTAGTGCGCGATGGGACAAGAACATCCCTGTCGGCCAAACCCTCCCCTACACTGCACAACGCTGGGCCAATTGTACGCCGCCCCATGGGTCTCCCGGTCGCGGCCGGCTGCGACAGAGCCTGGACTCGAACCAGGATCTCTAGTGGCACAGCTAGCACTGCGATGCAGTGCCTTAGACCACTGCGCCACTCGGGAGACCCTACGCATGACCTTTCTGACCCTTGTGAAGAGCTCTCTTCCTCCCTTTACCAATAGGAGACATCTCTTCTTCCTGTCTTTTCTGTTCCTATCCAACTGTATTTTTATCTGCCACCAAAACAAACAGCATTTGTTTAGAGCACTGTACAACATAATCTGGAATTAGATGTTATTTCTTCAGTAAATAAATGGAGACTTTGTTTACCTGATCCGTGGTCGCTGCTGTTGCTCTTCTGAGGGAATCCACCAAACAGAGAGGTGACATCATCTCCCAGGACCTTCCTGCAGTTCTCAATCAGGAACTGTACCAGCTCACAGACCTGGGAACAGATCATAGAACTTGTTACACACAAGTCAATGACTGGTCCTAGATCAGGGCTCCGACTGCAATTCCAATCATTACAGTTTTTCTCAATTGCTAAAACACTAAACCCTATTGTCTGAACCAAATGCTCAGTTGCCTGAACCCACTGATTGAATCAATCACTCTTTTGGCAAAACCATAAGCACTTTTCACCTGTTTAGACATAACTTGCCAACACATTTTCATTGTGATGCACCCGTGCTGCATAATGGTGAGCACAGGTGACAAAAGTCAAACACAATTAGAGCACAGGTGTCACCACTTGAACACAACAACTCAAAATTGATCACACTTGTGGCTAATGATGTGAGGGAACATATACAGTAAGCCAGTTCAGAGAGCACTGGTTTGTGAGGCCCTACAATGGATAGAAATCTGAGAGGAAGAGTTCGTGTGAGAGGAGGTCGAGGTGGTCGAGGTGGTCAGCGAAGACAAAGAACAGTAATATCTGATGAAATCAGAGCTACTGTGATTGACCATGTTCTTGTCCATGGTATGAGCATGAGGGAGGCTGGACAAAGGGTACAACCAAACATCAGTAGATTCACTGTGTCCACCATAATCCGAAGATTTAGAGAAGAGAACAGGTAATTACCTTTTTTTGACATTATAGTACAGTTTGTGTAAATGTTGACAGCAATTACTGTATGACATACTATATACTGTACCACAGTATACTGTAAGTAAATATATGTTTCAGTACATCACTGTACCAATGTAGTGTAGTATTGTAATGGAGGGTTGGTCTAACTGTTTGTAGGCCTAGTATTCCATGTATATTTTTTGTAACTCCATGTTCTCTTTTTGTAGAATTGAAAGACTGCCACATGGGGGTGGGAGGACAGGTATGTTCTCCCCACACCAAGAGACCCTAATTGTTGATATGGTCCGTGAGAACAATGCCATTAAACTGAGCGAAATTCAGCAGAAGATCATTGTATCAACAGTGTCAGCCTCTCTACTGTTGATCGTGTCCTCAAGCGCAACAGACTGCGCATGAAACAGCTATACAGAGTGCCCTTTGATCGCAACTCAGACAGAGTCAAAGAGCAAAGATTCCAGTATGTACAGGTTGGCATATATCCAGACACATTCAATGTTGATTACTCTAAGTAGTGATTTACTGTAGTGGCCTAAATCACTTTTTCCGTATCACTTACAAAACTATATATATTTCTACAGAGGGTTTTTCAACTGGATGCAATGGAAAGACCCCATCAATACATCTACATGGATGAAGCTGGGTTTAATCTCACCAAAAGGAGAAGGAGAGGCCGTAATGTGATTGGCCATCGGGCCATTGTTGGTGTTCCTGGGCAGCGTGGTGGCAATGTCACATTATGTGCTGCCATCAGCAATCATGGGGTTGTCCACCATCATGCCAACCTGGGGCCCTACAACACTCACCAGCTCCTCATTTTCCTCAATCACATGCGAGATGCTTTGTTAGGGCAGCAGGATGAGCATCCCATCTATGTTGTTGTTTGGGACAATGTGAGTTTTCACAGAGCCCTCCAGGTTAGAGAGTGGTACAATATGAACCAAGGTTTTATCAATCTTTGCCTTCCACCGTACTCCCCTTTCCTAAACCCCATTGAGGAATTCTTCTCCTCATGGCGGTGGAAGGTATATGAACGCCAACCTTACACCAGGGTAAATCTCCTGCAAGCCATGGGACTTGCCTGTGGTGACATAGGTGTGGAGGCATGCCAAGCCTGGATACGGCATGCCAGGGGTTTTTTCCCCCGTTGCCTGGCCAGACAAAATGTGGCCTGTGATGTGGATGAAGTCCTGTGGCCTGACCCAGTACGGAGACATGATGCTGTGGCTGAGTAATGCACTTATTTGTATATTTTTGTACTTTATTTTTTACATGGGCTTACTGTACACAAGTGGCAAATGCATAAGATTTCTGTTTGTTTTTACAAGTGCTACATGTAAATGCACAAGATTTCTGTTTTGTCTTTTTATACAAGTGCTAAATGCACAGTTTTTTTTTGTTTTGCAACATGCATTTAGCCTACAGTGAACAATAAACATTTATTTCTCCAGCTTCATGTCCTGAGCATTGTGTTTTCTATTTTTCTACGTAGTGTTTAGTGACTGTTCAGTAGTGTTTTTTATTTTGATTGACTCGGGGCACGATTTGACAACATAGTTCAGTTTTGAGCACAGATTGAACTGTTTTGAGGTGAAAGTTTGGTTTAGCAAGAAGAGTCTGAGGTTTTGTGAATGTAGCTTGAAAATTGGGTTTTGTGTTCACAGTTAAGAGAAAAGGAGAGCAGCTTTCAAGAAATGTGTCTTAGCAATCGAGAAAAACTGTAATCCAGAACCTGTTGTCATCAGTGAAGGTGTAAGGGGGCTTTTTCTGGGGTAAGGTAAGCTAGTGTGCGTATTTATTGTGCATACTTTTCTGACAAAAACAACCTACAGTCCAGAGTGTTCCAGACTTCCCAGTGTCCCAGACTTTGTCCTTGTGAGACCGCGACCGACCAGGGGAATGAGTGTGAGTGTGTTTGAGTGAGTGTGTCCGTGTGAGTGTGTCCGTGTACGTGTGCGTGTGTTTATGTGTGTGTGTGTGTGTGTCCGTTTGTGTGTGTGTGTGTGTGAGTGTATGTGTGTGTGTGTGTGTGTGTGTGTGTGTGTGTGAGTGTGAGTGTGACCGTGTGAGTGTGAGTTTGTGCCTGTGTGTAAAGACAAGAGAGGAGTGTTTAAAGCGGCGGGTTTGTGAAAACACACTCGTCCTCAGGAATCTGTAGGAAATGCTTTGGATTTTTTCCCAGTGAACCTCAACAGGCCCAAGCCTCAACAGAAACAAACACACATTTGACAAGGAGAGAGAAAGATCTGGAAACACCCAGATTGAGTGTGTTTCAACAACAATGTGTCCAAAATCGACCGTAATTCAGAGAGTATTATAGACATAATGACTTATTCTTGTTTATTATTAACTTACAATACATCTGGGGCCACTGGTGGCAAAACAAATCAAATCAAATGTTTTTTGCCACATGCGCCGAATAGTGAAATGCTTACTTACAAACCCTTAATCAACAATGCAGTTTTAAGAAATTAAAAAAAGTGTTAAGTAAAGAACAGATAAGTAAAAAATAAAAATAGCAAATAATTAAAGAGCAGCAGTAAAATAAAATAACAGTAGGGAGGCTATATACAGGGGGTACCGGTACAGAGTCAATATGCGGGGGCACCAGTTAGTCGAGGTAATTGAGGTAATATGTACATGTGGGTAGAGTTAAAGTGACTATGCATAGATAATAAACAGAGTAGCAGCAGCGTAAAAGAGGGGGTGGGGTGGGGGGGACAATGCAAATAGTCCAGGTAGCCATGATTAGCTGTTCAGGAGTCTTATGGCTTGGGGGTAGAAGCTGTTAAGAAGCCTTTTGGACCTAGACTTGGTGCTCCGGTACCACTTGCCATGTGGTAGCAGGGAGAACAGTCTATGACTAGGGTGGCTGGAGTCTTTTACAATTTTTAGGGCCTTCCTCTGACACCGCCTGGTATAGAGGTCCTGGATGGCAGGTAGCTTGGCCCCAGTGATGTACTGCGGTCGGAGGCCGAGCAGTTGCCATACCAGGCGGTGATGAAACCAGTCAGGATGCTCTCGATGGTGCAGCTGTAGAACCTTTTGAGGATCTGAGGTCCCATGCCAAATCTTTTCAGTCTCCTGAGGGGGAATAGGCTTTGTCGTGCCCTCTTCATGACTGTCTTGGTGTGTTTGGACCATGATAGTTTGTTCGTCAGTCAACCTGTTCCACTACAGCCCCGTCGATGAGAATGGGGGCATGCTCAGTCTTCTTTTTTTTCCTGTAGTCCACAATCATCTCCTTTGTCTTGATCACGTTGAGGGAGAGGTTGTTATCCTGGCACCACATGGCCAGGTCTCTGACCTCCTCCCTATAGGCTGTCTCATCGTTGTCTGTGATCAGGCCTACCACTGTTGTGTCGTCTGCAAACTTAATGATGGTGTTGGAGTTGTGCCTGGCCATGCAGTCATGGGTGAACAGGGAGTATAGGAGGGGACTGAGCACGCACCCCTGAGGGGCCCCCGTGTTTAGGATCAGTGTGGCAGATGAGTTGTTACCTACCCTTACCACCTGTGGGTGGCCTGTCAGGAAGTCCAGGATCCAGTTGCAGAGGGAGGTGTTTAGTCCCAGGGTCCTTAGCTTAGTGATGAGCTTTGAGGGCACTATGGTTTTGAACACTGAGCTGTAGTCAATGAATAGCATTCTCACGTAGGTGTTCCTCTTGTCCAGGTGGGAAAGGGCAGTGTGGAGTGCAATAGAGATTGCATCATCTGTGGATCTGTTGGGGCGGTATGCAAATTGGAGTGGGTCTAGGGTTTCTGGGATAATGGTGATAATGTGAGCCATGACCAGCATTTCAAAGCACTTCATGGCTACAGACGTGAGTGCTACGGGTCGGTAGTCATTTAGGCAGGTTATCTTAGTCAAATTGAATCATTTCAGGGCTAGCATTGGTTGGACACAGTCTAGTGGTAGGGTTAGTACTGTGAACTGGTGTGTCAATTCTTACTCTGTGTGAGTAAGTTAGTGTAAATTGTCAAGCTTTTCTGTCAGTGCATGGATTTCATGCTTGTTTTGTGTCACCGTGACTGCAAGGATAGAGATCTCAAACTTGTGTGTGTGCGTGTGTGTGTATGTGTGTGTGTGTGCTTGTGTGTGTCAGTACAGAGATTGAAAACCGGTGACTAGATCAATGTAAAAGCAGTGTGTAAGTAGGTCAGTCCAGGTTTAAAGAGGAAACATACATAGTATAGCCCAGCCTGAGGCTCCTAGCAGGAGGTTGACACACACTGTAACTCCACACTGCTGTTTCTACTTCCATTGGACATCCTGGTTGGTCAGACAGCTAGGTAGCAACAGTATAACTTTCCTTTACACCCTGTCCTGGCCCTTAGCCTCAGTCCTCCAGACATTTATGCGTGCAGTATGAGTAAGTATGTATGTACGTATGTATGTATGGGGCCCTTGTTCTTAACTGGAAATGTAACTGGAAGTACACGTGAGCAACTCACTCTCATCCAAATCTCCCATTGATATTAATACTTGATATAAGCAAGAGTATGATGTAGTAACACACATACACTTTGAATGTATGGTAGAATTATGTGATTGAAATAAGACATGAAAGTAAATTAAAGAAATGAAAAAGTTTGTTAGCAGAGAGGAAAATCTACAAAAAAGTTTGAGGTTTGGGGTCCATTCTCACCTTCTTGGTGGCCTCCCCCTCCCCCCCTGGGCTACAGGGGGCTGGTGTCCACAGCATGCTGGGAGCGATGCACACCGACAGGTTGAAGGCATTCATCTGGTTGTCTTCTGCATTTCCTTGGATACAGTGGAGCAAGGCAACCACATGTCTGAGTAGCAACAGGTTCTCACTGGGTAGAAGATGGACCAACCTAAGGTGGAGGGGGGGGACAAAGTAATCAGTGATGAAAACACAACATTGACAACATCTGGTGAGACTGCATATGTCAGACAAAGATTGGGCAGAGAATGGAAGGTGCACTAGCCCCCCCCCCCTCACACACACACATACACATTGCTACATCCTTTGGGAAACCAGCAGAATGTAGGGTCTGTCACATTCCTGGGGTAAGAAGAATGGAAACATATTTTCATTTTATTTTATGCTTTTTCCCCCCTGTAGGCTTGAGAAGAAGGACTTTATTTTCCTCTGGATCAAAACAGCTTTTTCCTCCCCTTTTCTTTCATTCTAGCTCCCTGTGCCACCCCTCCTTCACAGCAGCTTAGTTTTTCGTCTGTGTATGTGTTTGTGAAGGTGCATTACGGGGAGTGTCAGTACCTATGGATGGCTTGCGTCTTCTCCTCTTCTACCTCTCGCTCCATCGCTCCAACCCACTGCTCATACAGATCCACACACAACAGACTGCCCGGAATGTTCCGCAGGAAGTCCTGTTGGGGGACACAACCACAGGGACACACTTTAGGTTAGAACACACCTTAGCATCACCACATATGCTTATTTTCAGTAGAGATTTAATGAATCCTGAAAATATGGCACATAAAATAGAATAGAATGCTATGAAAGAGGCTGTGCAATTCAAGTATGCAGGACTTCTGAAGTAACATTATAGAGTAGTTGAGAGTTGGCACAGCCAGATGTGTTTTTACTGAAGCAATTGATCCTTTTTCACTCAACGTTGTTTGTTTGTCAACTCAGTTGTTTTTTGTTTGTTGGCTAGGATTGGGTATAGTAATATACCTAACTGAACAGCAGCATGTGTTCTCTCTCTCTGTGTGTGTGTGTGTGTGTCCTGTTCTGTATGATCTAATACAGCTACAGGTTTCCAGTAAAGCCTCCCAACGTGCTTTGAATTGAGTGTGTTTTTCTACCTGAGCTTTGTCTTCAACTCCAATCACTTCACTACTTTCTGTCTGTCTAAGACTTTCTATGGGGATTTCAAACACACACACACACACACTGGATATGGCGGTGAATATGTGTGTCTACAGCTGTGTTAGCTCGGTGCTGTGAATTATTCTGATGTGTTGAAGCAGGATGAAACAGATCCTTCAAACCTCCTCTCTCTCATGTCCCATTTTATCTGATCAGACAAGCCTGGCTAAACCATTTAAACTCGGATTAATACAAAAGGACCCTGGTGTGTGCGTGGTGTGTGCATGTGTGTGCGTGCTCAAGTGCGTTCTGTCCTACCTTGAAGACTGCGGCGGTGACGAACACAGACTCGTGTGTGAGTGTGTGTGTGTCCTCTGTCCCATTGTCCAGTCTGTCTTTCAGCTCTCTGCAGGCTTTGGCCCCTGCAGAGCGACGGAATATACCCCTGGTGTAGGGACCCTCCTGGTACAGAAACACCAGCATGTCCATGACAGGTTTGGGCAGGGTGTGGTCAGAGGGGCAGACGGAGCTGAGAGACCGTCCGAACAGGCGTCCCGGGGTGGGGGACAGGGAGGTGGGGGTCAGGGGGACACCGTCCAGCTGGCTACCGGACCCCCTCCAGAAGGCCCAGTTTATCAACAACCTCTTCCTCTTAATGGACTTCTGACCTGGCTCTATGGAGAGAGGTGTGTGTGTGGGGGGGGGGGGGGGGGGGGGGGGGGGGGGGGGTTATTCCAACATTAAAGACATTATTCAAATATTAAGTAGGGCCTACTGCTCAATAAAACATGATGAGAGGGGGAGAGAGGGGGATAGAGTTGGAGACTGAATGGTGTTTGGAGAGAGCAGAGGAAGGGAAAAAGAGAGAGAAGGGTGGTGTGAGAGAGAGAGGGAGAGAAAGAGGCATTGATTCAGAAAGAGACGTGACTAGAGAGGGTTCTGTCTAATTGGGTGGAGGTGGGGCAGTCTGTAGAGCCCTGCCCCACACAGCCCTGTAGAGAGAGAGAGAGAGAGAGAGAGAGAGAGAGAGAGAGAGACAGAGAGAGAGAGAGAGAGAGAGAGAAAGAGATGTTTAATATTTCTGAGATCATGTTAAGAAGCTGTGAGTCTGTGAGTGTGTGTTCATATGTTACGTACCGTGTGTGTCTGTGTATGTCTGATAGACTATGAGCTCTCTGTCTGTGTGTTTATTTAAGTTAAGGTGCAGACATGATGTCTGCTCTTACGTTGCGCGTGTGTGTACCTGTTTGTCTGTCTACTTGGACTTTCTGGATAAAAACATTAAATGTGTGTGAAGCACAGCTTATGCTTTGTTTGTGTGTGGGGGAGGGGGGAGGGGGGGGGAGGGGGGATAAAAGGCCCTTCCACATTAGTGGCACAACACCCCTAGCTGCCCAGGACCCTGCACGTTCAAAACTGACTTTAACAATCCACTCCAGCTTGTCACGACAGTCTTGAAAGGGAGCAGACCAATACGCAGCGCGTTGAGTGAACATGATGACTTTAATGAGTACAGCACGTAAATACAAAACAAAAGACGATAGTGAAGTCCAACAGTGACAATGACTGAACTTGGAACAAAAACCCACAACTCCCACAGGAAAACATACAGATAAATATGGCTCCCAATCAGAGATAACGAGCCGACAGCTGACACTCGTTACCTCCGATTGGGAGTCATTGACCAAACCTAGAAATAAACCCCACAGAACTGCAAACATAGAAATACACCCAAAACCCAACAAAACAAAATACACCCTGGCTCAAATACAAAAGTCCCGGAGCCAGAGTGTCACAGTACCCCCCCCTAAAGGTGCGAACTCCGGGCGCACCAGCATACAGTCTAGGGTAGGGTCTGGGTGGGCGTCTGTCCACGGTGGCGGTTCTGGCCCTGGTCGTGGTCCCCACCCCACCATAGTCACTACCCGCTTTCGTCGCCTCCTCCAACTGACCCCCACCGGATTAAGGGGCAGCACCGGACTAAGAGGCAGCACCGGACTAAGGGGCAGCACCGGACTGAATGGCGGATCCTGGCTGGCTGGCTCTGGCGGATCCTGGCTGGCGGAAGGCTCTGGCTGATCCTGTCTGGCGGAAGGCTCTAGCGGCTCCGGTCTGGCGGACGGCTCTGAAGGCTCATGGCAGACGGGCGGCTTATGCAGCGCTTGGCAGACGGACAGTTCAGACGGCGTTGGGCAGACGGGCAGTTCAGGCGCCGTTGGGCAGACGGGCAGTTCAATCGCCGTTGGGCAGACGGGCAGTTCAGGCGCCGTTGGGCAGACGGGCAGTTCAGGCGCCGTTGGGCAGACGGCAGACTCTGGCCGGGCGACGCGCACCGTAGACTTGGTGCGAGTGGCAGGAACAGGCCGGACCGGGCTGGCGACGCGCACCGTAGACTTGGTGCGGGTGGCAGGAACAGGCCGGACCGGGCTGGCGACGCGCACCGTAGTCTTGGTGCGGGTGGCAGGAACAGGCCGGGTCGGGCTGGCGACGCGCACCGTAGACTTGGTGCGGGTGGCAGGAACAGGCCGGACCGGGCTGGCGACGCGCACCGTAGACTTGGTGCGGGTGGCAGGAACAGGCCGGACCGGGCTGGCGACGCGCACCGTAGACTTGGTGCGGGTGGCAGGAACAGGCCGGACCGGGCTGGCGACGCGCACCGTAGGTTTGGTGCGAGTGGCAGGAACAGGCCGGGTCGGGCTGGCGACGTACACCGTAGGCTTAGTACGTGGAGCAGGAACCGGCCGGGCTGGACTGGCGACGCACACCGTGGACTTGGTGCGGGGAGCAGGACTATGCCGGACCGGGCTGTGGAGACGGATAGGAGGCCTGGAGTGAACAGCGGCCACCACCCGTCCTGGCTGAATGCCTACCCTCACACACTCTGTGTGAGGCATCCGCACAGGACGTACAGGGCGGTGTACCCCTGGCCTGGTGGCCTCCTGGATTCGCCCCATCTTTGCCTCCGTCGTCCATGCCGTGTGCTTGATGCGTGGAGTCGGAACAGGTCGGGCTGGGCTGGCCACGCACACCGTAGGCTTTCTACGTGGAACAGGAACCGGCCGGGCTGGACTGGCGACGCACACCGTGGGCTTGATGCGTGGAGTAGGAACAGGCCGGTCCGTACTGGGAACACACACCACTGGCCTTAACCGGGGATCAGGAACGGGCCGGTCCGGACTGGTAACACACATCAGTCTCTCACGCCGTGCCGCAACAACTTCCCTTCCTCTACTCGCCAATGGCTCCCGTAATCCGATAGCCTTCTCTCCACATCTCCCTGTGGCAGCCTCCTGCTGCCCAACCGCCCAAGCCATGTGCCCCCCCCAAAAAACTTTTTGGGGTTGCCTCTCGTCCCTCCGACGATGGCCCTGCCGACGCCGTTGCTCCTCTCTCCGTCGCCTCTCCACTGTCTCGCTCCATGGACGGCGATCCATCCCCTCCAGGATTTCCTCCCAAGTCCAGGACCCTTTTCCGTCCAAAATCTCCTCCCATGTCCATGAATCCTTTGGAGCTGGGTCCTGTTGCCGCTTGACACGCTGCTTGGTCCTCTTATGGTGGGTTTTTCTGTCACGACCGTCTTGAAAGGGAGCAGACCAATACGCAGCGCGTTGAGTGAACATGATGACTTTAATGAGTACAGCACGTAAATACAAAACAAAAGACGATAGTGAAGTCCAACAGTGACAATGACTGAACTTGGAACAAAAACCCACAACTCCCACAGGAAAACATACAGATAAATATGGCTCCCAATCAGAGATAACGAGCCGACAGCTGACACTCGTTACCTCCGATTGGGAGTCATTGACCAAACCTAGAAATAAACCCCACAGAACTGCAAACATAGAAATACACCCAAAACCCAACAAAACAAAATACACCCTGGCTCAAATACAAAAGTCCCGGAGCCAGAGTGTCACACAGCTTTACACTCAGTTACATGTTGGAAGCCAAATCAAAAACAACATTGTTACAGAGCTGCTCCAAAATTCTTAAACGAGCCGAAGCATCGTTCAAAGTTTATAAAGTTGTAAATCACGCATCATTACACGCCAGTGTGAGAAATCTTGGAGAGGGGGAATATTTAAAAGAGAGGGAACGAGGGGGGAGAGAAAGAGAGAGAGGGCTGGTTGTGTGGGCAATGTTTTGATCATTTTATAGATGTTAATGTATCCATTTTGGCTTGTTGCAAAACAGATGCCATATTTCTCTCCTAGCCAATAAAAACCTTTCATTTTCTGGATGTATTGGTAAAAATATTTGGTATCATGGCAGAGTTGACACCCAAATCCATCAGTGACACCCTTTGCCATGTTCATAAAACACTTGTTAGATGGAAATAATTAGGCTGATGTAGCGGGTAGGGGACGGTATGGTTAAATGGAGGCTTATGTAAGAACTTAACGTGGACAGAGAGGAATCTGAGGGGCTTGTGGGTGATTCAGTGGAGCCTCCTCAATGAGCCTCCTGGAACACATTCTCACACACTCTCTCTATGTTCTCTCTCTCTCTATGTTCTCTCTCTCTACGTTCTCTCTCTCTATGTTCTCTCTCTCTCTATGTTATCTCTCTCTCTATGTTCTCACTCTCTCTATGTTCTCTCTCTCTCTATGTTCTCTCTCTCGCTATGTTCTCTCTCTCTCTCTGTTCTCTCTCTCTATGTTCTCTCTCTCTCTATGTTCTCTCTCTCTCTATGTTCTCTCTCTCTATGTTCTCTCTCTATGTTCTCTCTCTCTATGTTCTCTCTCTCTATGTTCTCTCTCTCTATGTTCTCTCTCTCTATGTTCTCTCTCTCTTTATGTTCTCTCTCTCTATGTTCTCTCTCTATATGTTCTCTCTCTCTCTGTTCTCTCTCTCTATGTTCTCTCTCTCTCTATGTTCTCTCTCTCTATATGTTCTCTCTCTCTCTCTCTCTCATTCCATACTTTCAGAGAGAAAGACGTATGAGGGAAAAGAAGGAGGTATGAAGTAAACAAGCGCAAAAATGGGAGGGGACACATTTTTGGAAGGAAACTTAACCCTTACTTTCTGTTGAGCCGATCACTGTGGGTAAGGGGTCTCATACCTATGAGCGGAGCCTGTCTGAGGCCCACCCGGCTGGGCTTGAGGATGAACTGGCACTGGGTGTCTGGAGGGAGACACTGGTCCAGCAGCATCGCCCCCTGGTCCTCCGGAGGAGGAATCGCATCCTTCCCTCCACCTCCTCCCACTGCTCCCCCATCCCGAATGTGACTCATCTTGATACTGAAGGGAAACTCGTGTCCTGAGGGGTAAGAGAGGAGAGGGTCAGGAGGTTAGAGGTCAGGGGACGTGAGTCTGTCCTGAGATGTGACCAGGCCAGGTTTACAGTATTCAGCTAGTCTCTTATCTACCTCGTCATTAACGGGAGGAAAAATCCCAAAGCAGAGCAACTTTTGATCTCAGAGTAAAGGGTTGTAGTAGGTAGAAGTTGCCCCTGACCACTGATTAGGGACAACTGCTACCTCAAACTAAACGAGAGGGATATGGCTGGGTTTATGCTGGGTGTAAAGGGCTGCGTAGGGCTGGGTAATGGAGGTAAACTCACCAATCAGAGGATAGGGGGAGTCATCCTTACAGGAGCTCATCCACAACTGGTGGTCTTTCACACAGCCCTGTATTGAGAGAGAGAGAGAGAGAGAGAGAGAGGGGGGGGGGGGGGGGGGGGGGGGGGGGGGGGGGGGGAGAGGGAGGGAGAGGGAGAGACAGAGAGAGAGACAGAGAGAGACAGAGAGCAAGAGAGACAGAGAGAGACAGAGAGAGAGACAGAGAGAGACAGAGAGCAAGAGAGACAGAGAGAGACAGAGGGGAGAGAGAGAGAGAGTCAATGGCACCAAGGGACACACTTCCAAAACATACCCACTCACACACTAGCACATACACTCAAAAACAAGCGTACACACTTACTGAAATGCCAAACTGCTGTAGTGCCATTCGGATTACATCAGCGGTGCTGTCTGAATTACTGACAGCTAGAGTCTTAGCCTGGGGAAAAGCACAAAAACATGAGATAAATTAACGCAAACACACACACAAACATGAAGGAACGCACACACACACAGACCTGCACCACCCATACGTAAACTTACATAAGCACAATTCCCAATGTCCTTTGCAAATATCTTCAAAGGAATGGTCTTGGGGTCATCCTTCTCTTTCTCTTCGTTTATTCGACTGGAGGAAGAAGGAGGAAGGAAGTCAGAATTAGAAAACAACACTTTATTTCACACAAGCCATACTTCTAGTCTATTCTATACTGAAGTCAAGCCATAGAATATTACTGTCAGAGTAAGTTATGAACAACATCGTCTCCCGTCAATTCTGGTTACCTTTTGATGAGAGAAAGCCACTTCTCCTTGTGCTCCATAGAACTGCAGACGGATAGAGAGATAGAAGAGAAATTGGACCCTATTATGTTTCTCATCTTCTCTTACATAACGTGTCCCTGTAAAACTGCATAGTTCCTATGAATTCCTGGTGTCAAGGCATATAGTGTGTGTGTGTGTGTGTGTGTGTGTGTGTGATATTTTACAGTCCCTAGCTCTCTGTGGTCAGAGTAAGGGGGGGTTACGACTAGGAATATGACCCAGGTTGCGGTGTGGTGGAGGGTTGAAAATGTACTGTTCTAGTGGTTGTTCCTTGTTCTGAGACACATAATAACAAGTCCTGTACTGTACTGTGCATACTCAATGAGGATTTATTAAAGGGACTTTCTCACTATAAGGACAGAGTATACAGTAACCATACCGTAACCAGTCTGCTTTTATACATACACTACCAGTCAAAAGTTTGGACACATCTACTCATTCAAGGGTTTTCTTTATTTTTACTATTTCTTACATTGTAGAATAATAGTGAAGACATCAGAACTATGAAATAACACATATGGAATCATGTAGTAAACAGAAAAGTGTTAAACAAATCAAAATATATTTTATATTTGAGATTCTTGAAAGTAGCCACCCTTTGCCTTGATGACAGCTTTGCACACTCTTGGCATTCTCTCAACCAGCTTCACCTGGAATGCTTTTCCAACAGTCTTGTAGGAGTTCCCACATATGCTGAGCACTTGTTGGCTGCTTTTCCTTCACTCTGCGGTCCGACTCATCCCAAACCATCTCAATTGGGTTGAAGTCAGGGGATTGTGGAGGCCAGGTCATCTGATGCAGCACTCCATCACTCTCCTTCTTGGTAAATTAGCCTTTACACAGCCTGGAGGTATGTTGGGTCATTGTCCTGTTGAAAAACAAATGATAGTCCCCCTAACCCCAAACCAGATGGGATGGTGTATCGCTGTAGAATGCTGTGGTAGCCATCCTGGTTAAGTGTTCCTTGAATTCTAAATAAATCACAGACAGTGACACCAACAAAGCACCCCAACACCATAACACCTTCTCCTCCATGCTTTACGGTGGGAAATACACATGCAGAGATCATCCGTTCATCCACAAATTAACTTTTAAGAAGGCACACCTGTTAATTGAATTGCATTCCAGGTGACTACCTCATGAAGCTGGCTGAGAGAATTCCAACAGTGTGCAAAGCTGTCATCAAGGCAAAGGGTGGCTATTTGAAGAATCACAAATAAAACATATATTTTGATTTGTTTAACACTTTTTTGGTTACTACATGATTCCATATGTGTTATTTCATAGTTTTGATGTCTTCACTATTATTCTACAATGTAGATAATAGTAAAAATAAAGAAAAACCCTGGAAAGAGTAGGTGTGTCCAAACTTTTGACTGGTACTGTAAGTGTGTATGTGTGTGTGTGTGTGTCTGTGTGTCTGTGTGTCTGTGTGTGTGGACGTGTTTAACTATACTTGTGGGGACCAGAAGTCCCCACAAGAATAGTAAACCAAGACAAATTGGACCAACTGGGGATATTTTGTTAATCGCCACAAGGTCAAATGCTATTTCTAGGGGGTTTAGGGTTAAGGTTAGAATTAGTGTTAGGGTTAGAATTAGGTTTAGGTTTAGGGTTAGGAGTTAGAGTTAGGGTTAGGTTTTTGGGTTAAGGTTAGGGTTAGGGTTAGGGTTAGGTTTGGGGTTAGGGGTTAGGGAAAATAGGATTTTGAATGGGACTGAATTGTATGTCCCCACAAGGTTAGCTGCGCAAGACTGTGTGTGTGTGTTTGTGTGTGTGTGTGTGTGTGTGTGTGTGTGCGTGTGTGTACCTGAATGTGGCGACACAGTTAAAAGTGGGCCAGCCCATGACGAAGCTCCTGTCTGGACTGGTGCTGCCTTCACACACCTCCTCCATACAGCCTGCTGTCCACATCTCACACACACGCACCTGAGCCTTCAGCTTGAAGTGTGTGGACGACCTGCAGGAAACACAAGAGGGTCACACACAGTTTAACACACTAGCACACACACACACACACACACACACACACACACTGAATCACATATTTCTGAGCACATACAGTACATTAATTAATAGCCATGGTCGAATTCTCAATATTCCTACATATAAACTCAGCGAAAAAAGAAACGTCCCTTTTTCAGGACCCTGTCTTTCAAAGATAATTAGTAAAAATCCAAATAACTTCACAGATCTTCATTGCTTGTTCAATGAACCATAAACTATTAATGAACATGCACCTGTGGAACGGTCCTTAAGACACTAACAGCTTACAGACGGTAGGCAATTAAGGTCACACCTATGAAAACTTAGGACACTAAAGAGGCCTTTCTACTGACTCTGAAAAACACCAAAAGAAAGATGCCCAGGGTCCCTGCTCATCTGCGTGAACGTGCCTTAGGCATGCTGCAAGGAGGCATGAGGACTGCAGATATGGCCAGCGCATTAAATTGCAATGTCCGTACTGTTTATTTATTTATTTTATTTTACCTTTATTTAACAAGGTAAGCCAGTTGAGAACAAGTTCTCATTTAAAACTGCGACCTGGCCAAGATCAAGCAAAGCAGTGCGATTGTCATGCCCTGGCTCTGGGGACTCTTATATGTTGAGCCAGGGTGTGGATTTTCTATGTGTGATTTTCTATGTTTTGTTCTAGTTCGTGTTTTCTATGTTGGCCAGGGTGGTTCCCAATCAGAGGCAGCTGATTCTGGTTGTCTCTGATTGGGAACCATACTTAGGCAGCCTGTTGGCACTAGCTATTTGTGGGATCTTGTTCCGTAAGGTTTGTTTTGGTGTATTTACCTAGGACTTCACGTATCGTTTGGTTTGTTGTTTTGTTCGTGTGTGTACTTAATAAAAGATGTACGCATATCACGCTGCGCCTTGGTCCGCTGTTTATAACGATCGTGACAGAAGATCCCACCAAGACTGGATCAAGCAGCGTGACGAGGAGAGAGGATGGACCTGGGAGGAGATGAGTGAGAGTCTGGCAAGAGGGATGGAGGCCATGAGCACGGGGGGAGAGACAAGCCCAAACATTTAGGGGGGGGCTCACGCCGTGGACGACGAGGCAGCGGGAGGCTGCGATAGAGCGGTTCAGCAGGTTGGCAGAGGAGGCCGCCAGGTTACGGGGGTCACTGGTCACGAGGGAGAAGGATAGTGTGGAGGCACGGCGAGAGGAACTGAGTAGGCAGCAGAGGGAGCGGAGGTTTATGTGGAAACCCAGTCCCGCTCCTCGCACCAAGCAAGTAGTGTGTGTCACCAGTCCGGTCCGGCCCGTTCCTGATTCCCGCACAAGGCCAGTGGTGTGTGTTCCCAGTACGGTCAGGCCCGTTCCTGCTCCCCGCACTAAGCCTGTGGTGCGCGTCGCCAGCCCGGTCCGGCCTGTTCCTGCTCCCCGCAGCAAGCCAGTGGTGCGCGTCGTCAGCCCGGTCCGGCCTGTTCCTGCTCCCCGCACCAAGCCAATGGTGCGCGTCGTCAGTCCGGTCCGGCCCGTCCCTGCTCCCCGCACCAAGCCAGTGGTGCGCGTCGTCAGCCCGGTCCGGCCCGTTCCTGCTCCCCGCACCAAGCCAGTGGTGCGCGTCGCCAGCCCGGTCCGGCCTGTTCCTGCTCCCCGCACCAAGCCAATGGTGCGTGTCGTCAGCCCGGTCCGGCCCGTTCCTGCTCCCCGCACCAAGCCAGTGGTGCGCGTCGCCAGCCCGGTCCGGCCTGTTCCTGCTCCCCGCACCAAGCCAATGGTGCGCGTCGTCAGCCCGGTCCGGCCCGTCCCTGCTCCCCGCACCAAGCCAGTGGTGCGCGTCATCAGCCCGGTCCGGCCCGTCCCTGCTCCCCGCACCAAGCCAGTGGTGCGCGTCGCCAGCCCGGTCCGGCCCGTTCCTGCTCCCCGCACCAAGCCAATGGTGCGCGTCGTCAGCCCGGTCCGTCCCTGCTCCCCGCACCAAGCCAGTGGTGCGCGTCGTCAGCCCGGTCCGGCCCATCCCTGCTCCCCGCACCAAGCCAGTGGTGGGCGTCATCAGCCCGGTCCGGCCCGTCCCTGCTCCCCGCACCAAGCCAGTGGTGCGCGTCGTCAGTCCGGCACGGTCCGTGCCTGTTCCACCGGTGCCTGGTCCGGCACCGGTCAGCTGCTCCACGCCGGAGCCAGAGCAATCCGCTCCACCGGTGTTCAGTCCAGCTCCGGCCAGCGGGACCAGACCAGGGGTGCAACGGGGGGGTAGAGAAAGTGTGGTGGTCACTCCCGGAGCCGGATCCGCCTCCGAGACGGAATGCCCACCCGGCCTCTACCCTCTTGTGTTTGGTTGGCGCGGTCGCAGTCCGCGCCTTTGGGAGGGGGGTACTGTCACGCCCTGGCTCTGGGGACTCTTATATGTTGAGCCAGGGTGTGGATTTTCTATGTGTGATTTTCTATGTTTTGTTCTAGTTCGTGTTTTCTATGTTGGCCAGGGTGGTTCCCAATCAGAGGCAGCTGATTCTCGTTGTCTCTGATTGGGAACCATACTTAGGCAGCCTGTTGGCACTAGTTATTTGTGGGATCTTGTTCCGTAAGGTTTGTTTTGGTGTATTTACCTAGGACTTCACGTATCGTTTGGTTTGTTGTTTTGTTCGTGTGTGTACTTAATAAAAGATGTACGCATATCACGCTGCGCCTTGGTCCGCTGTTTATAACGATCGTGACAGAAGATCCCACCAAGACTGGATCAAGCAGCGTGACGAGGAGAGAGGATGGACCTGGGAGGAGATGAGTGAGAGTCTGGCAAGAGGGATGGAGGCCATGAGCACGGGGGAGAGACAAGCCCAAACATTTAGGGGGGGGCTCACGCCGTGGACGACGAGGCAGCGGGAGGCTGCGATAGAGCGGTTCAGCAGGTTGGCAGAGGAGGCCGCCAGGTTACGGGGGTCACTGGTCACGAGGGAGAAGGATAGTGTGGAGGCACGGCGAGAGGAACTGAGTAGGCAGCAGAGGGAGCGGAGGTTTATGTGGAAACCCAGTCCCGCTCCTCGCACCAAGCAAGTAGTGTGTGTCACCAGTCCGGTCCGGCCCGTTCCTGATTCCCGCACAAGGCCAGTGGTGTGTGTTCCCAGTACGGTCAGGCCCGTTCCTGCTCCCCGCACTAAGCCTGTGGTGCGCGTCGCCAGCCCGGTCCGGCCTGTTCCTGCTCCCCGCAGCAAGCCAGTGGTGCGCGTCGTCAGCCCGGTCCGGCCTGTTCCTGCTCCCCGCACCAAGCCAATGGTGCGCGTCGTCAGTCCGGTCCGGCCCGTCCCTGCTCCCCGCACCAAGCCAGTGGTGCGCGTCGTCAGCCCGGTCCGGCCCGTTCCTGCTCCCCGCACCAAGCCAGTGGTGCGCGTCGCCAGCCCGGTCCGGCCTGTTCCTGCTCCCCGCACCAAGCCAGTGGTGCGCGCCGTCAGCCCGGTCCGGCCCGTTCCTGCTCCCCGCACCAAGCCAGTGGTGCGCGTCGCCAGCCCGGTCCGGCCTGTTCCTGCTCCCCGCACCAAGCCAATGGTGCGTGTCGTCAGCCCGGTCCGGCCCGTTCCTGCTCCCCGCACCAAGCCAGTGGTGCGCGTCGCCAGCCCGGTCCGGCCTGTTCCTGCTCCCCGCACCAAGCCAATGGTGCGCGTCGTCAGCCCGGTCCGGCCCGTCCCTGCTCCCCGCACCAAGCCAGTGGTGCGCGTCATCAGCCCGGTCCAGCCCGTCCCTGCTCCCCGCACCAAGCCAGTGGTGCGCGTCGCCAGCCCGGTCAGGCCCGTTCCTGCTCCCCGCACCAAGCCAATGGTGCGCGTCGTCAGCCCGGTCCGTCCCTGCTCCCCGCACCAAGCCAGTGGTGCGCGTCGTCAGCCCGGTCCGGCCCATCCCTGCTCCCCGCACCAAGCCAGTGGTGGGCGTCATCAGCCCGGTCCGGCCCGTCCCTGCTCCCCGCACCAAGCCAGTGGTGCGCGTCGTCAGTCCGGCACGGTCCGTGCCTGTTCCACCGGTGCCTGGTCCGGCACCGGTCAGCTGCTCCACGCCGGAGCCAGAGCAATCCACTCCACCGGTGTTCAGTCCAGCTCCGGCCAGCGGGACCAGACCAGGGGTGCAACGGGGGGGTAGAGAAAGTGTGGTGGTCACTCCCGGAGCCGGATCCGCCTCCGAGGCGGAATGCCCACCCGGCCCCTACCCTCTTGTGTTTGGTTGGCGCGGTCGCAGTCCGCGCCTTTGGGAGGGGGGTACTGTCACACCCTGGCTCTGGGGACTCTTATATGTTGAGCCAGGGTGTGGATTTTCTATGTGTGATTTTCTATGTTTTGTTCTAGTTCGTGTTTTCTATGTTGGCCAGGGTGGTTCCCAATCAGAGGCAGCTGATTCTCGTTGTCTCTGATTGGGAACCATACTTAGGCAGCCTGTTGGCACTAGTTATTTGTGGGATCTTGTTCCGTAAGGTTTGTTTTGGTGTATTTACCTAGGACTTCACGTATCGTTTGGTTTGTTGTTTTGTTCGTGTGTGTACTTAATAAAAGATGTACGCATATCACGCTGCGCCTTGGTCCGCTGTTTATAACTCCTGAGTGGCGCAGTGGTCTAAGGCACTGCATCGCAGTGCTAACTGTGCCACTAGAGATCCTGGTTCGAATCCAGGCTCTGTCGCCGCCGGGAGACTCATGGGCGGCGCTGCCGGGAGACTCATGGGCGGCGCACAATTGGCCCAGCGTCGTCCAGGGTAGGGGAGGGAATGGCCGGCAGGGATGTAGCTCAGTTGATAGAGCATGGCGTTTGCAACGCCAGCGTTGTGGGTTCGATTCCCACGGGGGGCCAGTATAAAAAAAATATGTATTCACTAACTGTAAGTCGCTCTGGATAAGAGCGTCTGCTAAATTACTAAAATGTAATGTAAATGTAAAAGACCAAGTCCATATTATGGCAAGAACAGCTCAAATAAGCAAAGAGAAAGGACAGTCCATCATTACTTTAAGACATGAAGGTCAGTCAATATGGAACATTTCAAGAACTTTGAAAGTTTCTTCAAATGCAGTCGCAAAAACCATCAAGCACTATGATGAAACTGGCTCTTATGAGGACCGCCACAGAAATGGAAGACCCAGAGTTACCTCTGCTGCAGATGATAAGTTCATTAGAGTTACCAGCCTCAGAAATTGCAGCCCAAATAAATGCTTCACTGAGTTCAAGTAACAGACACATCTCAACATCAATTGTTCAGAGGAGATTGCGTGAATCAGGCCTTCATGGTCGAATTGCTGAAAAGAAACCACTACTAAAGGACACCAATAAGAAGAAGAGACTTGCTTGGGCCAAGTAACACGAGCAATGGACATTAGACCGGTGGAAATCTGTCCTTTGGTCTGATGAGTCCAAATGTGAGATTTTTGGTTCCAACCGCCGTGTCTTTGTGAGACGCAGAGTAGGTGAGTGGATGATCTCCGCATGTGTGGTTCCCACCGTGAAGCATGGAGGAGGAGGTGTGATGGTGTGGGGGTGCTTTGCTGGTGACACTGTCAGTGATTTATTTAGAATTCAAGGCACACTTAACCAGCACGGCTACCACAGCATTCTGCAGCGATACGCCATCCCATCTGGTTTGCGCTTAGTGGGACTATCATTTGTTTTTCAACAGGACAATGACCCAAAACCCACCTCCAGGCTGTGTAAGGGTTATTTGACCAGGAAGGAGAGTGATGGAGTGCTGCATCAGATGACCTGGCATCCACAATCATCTGACCTCAACCCAATTGAGATGGTTTGGGATAAGTTGGACCGCAGAGTGAAGGAAAAGCAGCCAACAAGTGCTCAGCATATGTGTGAACTCCTTCAAGACTGTTGGAAAAGCATTCCAGGTGAAGTTGGTTGAGAGAATGCCAAGAGTGCGCAAAGCTGTCATCAAGGCAAAGGGTGGCTACTTTGAAGAGGTAATTATAGGCTGGATAGGAGCGAGTATGGAGTAGAGAGAGAGAGGGAAGAGGGGATGAGAGAGGGATACAGTATGTCTCACTTGGTGGAGGAAAGAAAGAGAGATGGAATGCTGTTTTTAGCTCTCTCTCTCTCCCCCCCCCCCCCCCCTCTCTCTCTCACACACACACACAGAGAGACTCACTTGGCCTTGGCGATGAGGAGTGTGTCAGTGAAAAGGAAGAGGTGTCTTTCCTGCGTCTGCAGGCCGGTCTTCAGCTGGGTGTGGGCGTGGGCCAGGAACATCCTCCATGGGGAGAGGAACGCCTGCACCAGGGGACACGTCTCTGGGCTGACTGGGGACAGGCAGTTCTCCCTGTCAACACACACACATCACACACTGTTAGAATAACCAGGTCAACACACAGTAGAGGGTTCATTTCAGGTTGGCTCCCAATGGGCCAATGGGTCAGAAGGATAACTGTTTGGGGTCAGAGTGAGAGGAGGTGTGGGTCCCTTGGGTTGTGTTTATGGATGAACCCACTGCTCCCAATTCTGGTCGAATGATCACACATGCAAAAACACACAGAAACACACAGATATAACCACTGTATCAGGTTCAAGGGAAAGTTACATCTTCCGGAATGATGTCAAAATCTGCCATGGGCAAATACAGCAGATGGAAAGAGTTGGCGTTTTTCCAGGGAACAACGGAAATAGTTGCAGGGCTCTGTCCTTTCCTGTTTACAGCAGGCAGTAAGATCGGATTCTCAGCTCACATTCGAGAGATAATGGCCCTGTACACACGAGCGCACACACACCCATCATCCTAACCACCAACCCCAGAGAACTGCCTTTAAACTGTTTCTTCCTAACACTGGAAAGCACCAAAAGCTTGGCATCAAATATCCCTCCACACCCATAGTACAGATCTCTTTCTCATTGACTTGTGTAATTAATCAGTTAAGTATTGTAATTACCTAATGGAAGACTGAGTGACTCTGATGTGGCTTGGTCTTTATGTGTTTTTAAAACTCTTCCTATTCCAAAAAGAGCAAGTGAACCAATTAATCACAGACTAAGGTCTTCAGTTTGCTATTGATTCATTGCTTCTAGATGAGTCTTAAAGGCCGAAACCATGATTCCAAACCAGGGTGGAATTTGTAGGAGGGAAAATTGGGAGAGGTTCATACCCCTGGACCCCCTAAAAATTCTGAAATATAACCCTAACTAACACCATAACAGAAGACCACTTAGAACAAGCTTCAACGGCTCTCAGGGAGATTATAAAACCACATCATCCCCTCCTTCTCTATCCGCTTTTCTTAATACATAATATATCCGGGAAGTGCCCAAGTCATAGAGTCCACACACACACACAGAACAGCTTCCCGTAATATCTCTCTCTCTCCCTCTATACAGACACCAAACTTCCATATTCAGCCCACATCCCTTCCCCTGAATGGTTGATTGGCAGCTGAGCTCCTGTTCCATTGAAGCTGATGGATGACTGGCTAACGACCCCATTGTGTGTCATGCAATGTTGATAAATTGGACATAGAGGCCGTTTGCATACACACCACATACACGGCCATCTTTGTTGGGGAACAGTCCTGTGGAGCGAGATGTTGACATTTCAGACACAATGCTGGTTGTTTATTCTCGGGGGGCTCCTGTGGGGTAAGGCCTCTAAACCCAACCCTGGGAGACAACAGCACAACACAGCATACTAATGTCCCAGCATGCCTTTAGTGAGAGAATGGTGAATATTGATGAGCCCGCCATCACTATATCAGACCTACTAGTCAATCAGAATGCCTAACGAATGGCACCACCCTCTTATCCTGATTATGGTCACACTGGCTTTCTTTGATGTACCCCACACCTAGACTATCTCTCTCTGTCACTCTCTTTATGTCTCTCTCTCTCAATCTCTCTGTCTCTCTGTCTCTCTGTCTCTCTGTCTCTCTCTCTCTCTCTCTCTCTCTCTCTCGCTCTCTCTCTGACACACACACACACAAGGAGGTGGGGTGTGTCAAGGTTACCGGGGGCTGCAGCCAGGAGATGAGGTCACCCTGGTCCAGATGTGTGTGTTGTAACACCCCCCCAGTGTGGATGAAATCATCTGTAAGGAGAGACCCCCAAGAGGACAGCAGCTGGACGAACAGCTGTCCCTCAGATGCCACACACACACACACACACACACACACACACAGAAACCCAACCTCATCTCCACACTACGTATGTTCTCTAACCCTGTGACCCTCCTGCTCTGTATCCCCTAGACAGACACATTACACATCCTTATATTATCTTAATAATGGCTAAACCCCGCTATTTCTACAATTTTTCTTCTTAAAATCTGATTTTAAACCTACCCTTAACCCTACTCTTAACCACACTAGTAACCTTATGCCTAACCCTAACCTTAAATGAAGACCAAAATGCTAATTATTGTTTTCATGACTTTTTTCGATATAGCCAATTTTGACTTTGTGGCTGTGGTAACTAGTGACAACCACGCACAACACAGCATACTAATGTCCCAGCATGCCTTTAGGGAGAGAATGGTGAATATTGATGAGCCCGTCATCACTATATCAGGCCGACTAGCCAATCAGAACGCCTAACGAATGGCACCACCCTCTTATCCTGATCATGCTCTCTCTCTCTCTCTCTCCCCATCTCTCTCTCTCCCTCTGACACACGCAAACACACACACACACACACACAAGGAGGTGTGGTGTGTCAATGTTACCGGGGGCTGCAGCCAGGAGATGAGGTCACCCTGGTCCAGATGTGTGTGTTGTAACACCCCCCCCCCGGTGTGGATGAGAACATCTGTAAGGAGAGACCCCCAAGAGGACAGCAGCTGGATGAACAGCTGTCCCTCAGATGCCACACACACACACACACACACACACACACACAGAAACCCTACTTCATCTCCACACTACATACAGTGGCATGCGAAAGTATTCACCCCCCATGGCATTTTTCCTATTTTGTTGCCTTACAACCTGGAATTAAAATGGATTTTTTGGTGGTTTGTATTAATTGATTTACACAACATGCCTACCACTTTGAAGATGCAAAATTTTTTTTTTTGTGAAAACTACAGCGTGCATAACTATTCACCCCCCCAGAGTAAATACTTTGTAGAGCCACCTTTTGCAGCAATTACAGCTGCAACTCTCTTGGGGTATGTCTCTATAAGCTTGGCACATCTAGCCACTGGGATTTTTGCCCATTCTTCAAGGCAAAACTGCTCCAGCTCCTTCAAGTTGAATGGGTTCCGCTGGTGTACAGCAATCTTTAAGTCATACCACAGATTCTCAATTGGATTGAGGTCTGGGCTTTGACTAGGCCATTCCAAGACATTTAAATGTTTCCCCTTAAACCACTCAAGTGTTGATTTAGCAGTATGCTTAGGGTCATTGTCCTGCTAGAAGGTGAACCTGGGTCCCAGTCTCAAATCTCTGGAAGACTGAAACAGGTTTCCCTCAAGAATTTCCCTGTATTTAGCGCCATCCATCATTCCTTCAATTCTGACCAGTTTCCCAGTCCCTGCTGATGAAAAACATCCCCACAGCATGATGCTGCCACCACCATGCTTCACTGTAGGGATGGTGTTCTCGGGGTGATGAGAGGTATTGGGTTTGCGCCAGACATAGCGTTTTCCTTGATGGCCAAAAAGCTCAATTTTAGTCTCATCTGACCAGAGTACCTTCTTCCATATGTTTGGGGAGTCTCCCACATACCTTTTGGCGAACACCAAACGTGTTTGCTTATTTTTTTCTTTAAGCAATGGCTTTTTTCTGGCCACTCTTCTGTAAAGCCCAGCTCTGTGGAGTGTACAGCTTAAAGTGGTCCTATGGACAGATACTCCAATCTCTGCTGTGGAGCTTTGCAACTCCTTCAGGGTTATCTTTGGTCTCTTTGTTGTCTCTCTGATTAATGCCCTCCTTGCCTGGTCCGTGAGTTTTGGTGGGCGGCCCTCTCTTGGCAGGTTTGTTATGGTGCCATATTCTTTCAATTTTTTAATAATGGATTTAATGGTGCTCTGTGGGATGTTCAAAGTTTCAGATATTTTTTTATAACCCAGCCCTGATCTGTACTTCTCCACAGCTTTGTCCCTGACCTGTTTGGAGAGCTCCTTGGTCTTCATGGTGCCGCATGCTTGGTGGTGCCCCTTGCTTAGTGGTGTTGCAGACTCTGGGGCCTTTCAGAACAGGTGTATATATACTGAGATCATGTGACAGATCGCACACAGGTGGACTTTATTTAACTAATTATGTGACTTCTGAAGGTAATTGGTTGCACCAGAACTTATTTAGGGGCTTCATAGCAAAGGGGGTGAATACATATGCATGCACCATTTTTCAGTTATACATTTTTTTGAATTTTTTGAAACAAGTTTTTCTTTCATTTCACTTCACCAATTTTGACAATTTTGTGTATGTCCATTACATGAAATCCAAATAAAAATCTATTTAAATTACAGGTTGTAATGCAATAAAATAGGAAAAACGCCAAGGGGATGAATACTTTTGCAAGGCACTGTATGTTCTCTAAGCCCTGTGACCCTCCCCTAGACAGACACGTTACACATATGACACTGTCCTCTTGCTTTGCTCTGGTTAAAATCTGTGTGTGTGTGTGTGTTTTCTCTACCATATACAGTGAGGAAAAAAGTATTTGATCCCCTGCTGATTTTGTACGTTTGCCCACTGACAAAGACATGACCAGTCTATAATTTTAATGGTAGGTTTATTTGAACAGTAAGAGACAGAATAATAACAACAAAATCCAGAAAAACGCATGTCAAAAATGTTATAAATTGATTTGCATTTTAATGAGGGAAATAAGTATTTGACCCCCTCTCAATCAGAAAGATTTCTGGCTCCCAGGTGTCTTTTATACAGGTAACGAGCTGAGATTAGGAGCACACTCTTAAAGGGAGTGCTCCTAATCTCAGCTTGTTACCTGTATAAAAGACACCTGTCCACAGAAGCAATCAATCAATCAGATTCCAAACTCTCCACCATGGCCAAGACCAAAGAGCTCTCCAAGGATGTCAGGGACCAGATTGTTGACCTACACAAGGCTGGAATGGTCTACAAGACCATCGCCAAGCAGCTTGGTGAGAAGGTGATAACAGTTGGTGCGATTATTCGCAAATGGAAGAAACACAAAATAACTGTCAATCTCGTGGAGTTGTAATGATCATGAGAACGGTGAGGAATCAGCCCAGAACTACACAGGAGGATCTTGTCAATGATCTCAAGGCAGCTGGGACCATAGTCACCAAGAAAACAATTGGTAACACACTACGCCGTGAAGGACTGAAATCCTGCAGCGCCCGCAAGGTCCCCCTGCTCAAGAAAGCACATATACAGGCCCGTCTGAAGTTTGCCAATGAACATCTGAATGATTCAGAGGAGAACTGGGTGAAAGTGTTGTGGTCAGATGAGACCAAAATCGAGCTCTTTGCCATCAACTCAACTCGCTGTGTTTGGAGGAGGAGGAATGCTGCCTATGACCCCAAGAACACCATCCCCACCGTCAAACATGGAGGTGGAAACATTATGCTTTGGGGGTGTTTTTCTGCTAAGGGGACAGGACAACTTCACCGCATCAAAGGGACGATGGACGGGGCCATTGGGTGAGAACCTCCTTCCCTCAGCCAGGGCATTGAAAATGGGTCGTGGATGGGTATTCCAGCATGACAATGACCCAAAACACACGGCCAAAGCAACAAAGGAGTGGCTCAAGAAGAAGCACATTAAGGTCCTGGAGTGGCCTAGCCAGTCTCCAGACCTTAATCCCATAGAAAATCTGTGGAGGGAGCTGAAGGTTCGAGTTGCCAAACGTCAGCCTCGAAACCTTAATGACTTGGAGAAGATCTGCAAAGAGGAGTGGGACAAAATCCCTCCTGAGATGTGTGCAAACCTGGTGGCCAACTATAAGAAACGTCTGACCTCTGATTGCCAACAAGGGTTTTGCCACCAAGTACTAAGTCATGTTTTGCAGAGGGGTCAAATACATATTTCCCTCATTAAAATGCAAATCAATTTATAAAATTTTTGACATGCATTTTTCTGGATTTTTTTGTTGTTATTCTGTCTCTCACTGTTCAAATAAACCTACCATTAAAATTATAGACTGATCATGTCTTTGTCAGTGGGCAAACGTACAAAATCAGCAGGGGATCAAATACTTTTTTTCCCTCACTGTACACTCCAACAATGAATGGCCAACAGCTCTCCTGAGTACTTGAGCTAATTTATTGTCGAGGCCCAGCGTCCAATATCTTTTAATTATCAATTTGTCTGCACCTGTCTAGACCCAAGTAGTTCACTTGACGTCTCTGGGGGGCACAAAAGGTTTTGTAGTTTATGATGACAATCCGAGGAAAAAGCAAATAAATTGTGGCTTAACAAGACCCCTTGGCAAGACACAGGGAGGTAGAAGTTTATATAAATCTCATTGGCTTATGTAACTTTTGAACTTTGACCGGTGTGTCAAACAGTGTGTTTGGACCTGGCAGTGTGTGTGTGTGTTTTGCTTGTTTGTGTGCATGTTTTGCATGTGT